GGGGCAGTATCTCCGCGCTGCGGGGATGCTATGGGGGAGTGTTGGGGCCAGCGGCCGGCAGAGGCGGGAGATTTAAAAGGGGGCCAGGAAGGCCCTCAGGAAGGAGAACGCCGGTGGACCGAGGCCCATGAAGGAGGCCGAGCCAGGTAAGGCCTCCCCTGACATGGGCGGTAGGCGGACTTCCCCGGGGGGAAGAAGCGGCCCAAGGCGGGGCCGTGGAACTCGAGAGCAGGGGGTTTAGGGTTAGCTACCCCCTCCGCTAAGTGAGGTCTCAGAAAGGGGGCCAGGAAGGCCCTCAGGAAGGAGAACGCCGGTGGACCGAGGCCCATGAAGGAGGCCGAGCCAGGTAAGGCCTCCCCTGACATGGGCGGTAGGCGGACTTCCCCGGGGGGAAGAAGCGGCCCAAGGCGGGGCCGTGGAACTCGAGAGCAGGGGGTTTAGGGTTAGCTACCCCCTCCGCTAAGTGAGGTCTCAGACCCTACCTTAGGGCCCTGGGCTGGGGTCCGGAGTGAGGGTGGGCCCAGACCCCCAGACCCACTTCCCCTCCCCCGTTTATGAGGGGGCCAGCTGATCACCCCGTGGCCAACGGTAGGAATACGACCAGGCTAGGTAGAAGCTGTGGAAGGAGCCTAAAGCCCTGTCGTGGACAGGACGCAAGTCCCCGTAGAGGGCGGGGACTCAAGACACGTGGTGGAGAATATGGGTACGGCCCTAAGCCCCGCAATAAAAGGGGCTAGGTAGGGAGGAGGACTTTAATTCCCTGCGCTAACGAGAACTTAATTCCCAAGGGGAAAATGGAGGTCACTAAGGTACTTGAGTGGCTAGTAGAAAACCAAAAGCAGCAACAGCAACAGCAAACGCAGGTGTTGCAACAGATCCTGTCGAAGTTTCAAGAGCAGCAAACCCAGATGGTATGGGAGCTCCGCGAGACAGCGCCGGGCATCGTAGGTATGGGCCACCCCCTGACGGGGGAGGACGGAGGAGTCGTAGGGACTCAGCTCCCAATACACCTAACAAAGCTGGGACCAGAGGACGATCCCGAGGCGTTACTAATAACTTTTGAGCGCGTGGCAACGGCCACCAAGGGGCCCCAAGACCACTGGGCAACCCTACTGGTGCCTTATCTGTCCGGGCTGGCGCAAATAGCCTACCGGGGGACGTCTGCAAGGGACGTGCTCTGCTACTACAAAGTGAAGGAGGCCGTACTTGACCAGATAGGGGTCTTCCAAGAGATGCATCACCGGAGGTTTTGAGAATCGTGCTACGACCCGCAGGAGCGACCCAGGGCCGTAACCCAGAGAGTAAGAGACGCTGGCATGAGGTGGCTGGAGCCCGAGGGGAAATCAGGGGTCTAAGTGGCGGAGATAGTTATCCTGGAGCAATACCTTTGGATCCTTCCCCCTGAGGGGAAGCAGTGGGTATGCCGACACCTCCCCGAATCGTTGGAAGAGGCGGTGACCCTACTGGAGCACTTCCTGGCAGCGGAAGAGGAAGCAGGAAAGAAGCTGACACCAGCCCCAAAGGAGGGCAAGAAGAGCGGAGCGGAAACCCCTCCGTCGGCCAGGATGTCACGGCTAGGTTACGGACAAAGGACCCCGCCGAATCAAGCCCCCGAGAGGAGACTGGGCCCAAGACGCCGAATCAAGCCCCGGAGAGGAGACTGGCCCCAAGATGGAATCAGCCAGAGGAATTGGAGAGGGCCGGGCCCGAGCCCCAAGGCAAAGGAAGGAACCAGGGGCGCCTGTTACCAATGCGGACAGGAGGGACACTATAAAAAGGATTGTCCCTTGATGGACTGCACGTTCAGCCAAGGCAAATCCGGGAAGGTAACCAGAACAGGGGGGCCGGCGCGCAGATCATACGGAGGGTGCGGGTCAATGGCCGACGGGTGGCAGCGATATTAGACTCGGGGTGTGGGTAAACAATAGTGCAGGCAGACGTTATCCACCCCGTAAGACCAAAGGGACCACTGGTCTATATGAGGTGCCTCCATGGGGACATACATGCCTATCCCACGACCTGGGTGACGATCCAGGATGGGGAAAAGGAAGGGAGGTGCAAAGTAGCGGTGGCCCCTCGATTAGCTCACCCTGCCTTGCTAGGACGGAATTGGGTAGGGCTCGCCCCGGGCGACCAGGTTCTATTGTTACTCCCAGAGGGAGACTCTAAACTACTGGCCCGGTGGCAGGACCCCTTTAGGGTAACCCGTAGAGTAGGGCCCGTAAACTATGAGGTCCTGATAAACAGGGCACGTAAGGAGACTCAGATCTATCATGTAAATCTACTAAAAAAGTAGAACCCCCGAGACGCCCTCCTGATCAAACCCCGAACGGCGGACATAGAGTTTGGACCGTGGGGGGGCCCCGAGATAGGGTTGGAGGGGGCCCACATGGGGGAAGGGATATCCGAAGAACAGAGAAAGCAACTAGGCCAGGTATTGAGGCGGTTCCAGCAGGTGCTGACGAGCCAACCAGGGCAAACTATGATGATCTGCCACGATATTATAACCAAGGCAGGGAAGATAATACGGGACAATTTACATCCCCTTCCCTGTAAACTTTGGGACACGGTGAAGCACGAGCTGAGGGCGATGCAGGAATGGGGGGTGATAGAAGAGTCCCGTAGCGAATGGAGAAGCCCGATTGTACTAGTACCAAAGGCAGATGGGTTGACACGATTTTGTATAGACTTTTGGAAAGTCAACGCTGTCTCCCATTTCGACGCTTACCCGATGCCCCGCATAGACGAATTACTAAATCGGCTGGGGCAGGCCAGGTACCTGTCGACCATAGACTTGACAAAAAGGTACTGGCAGATCCCGCTATCCCCCGAGGCCCAGGCAAAAACAGCCTTTGCGATGCCGTTCGGTCTATATCAGTTCACCAAAATGCCTTTCGGCCTGCATGGAGTGGCCGCTACGTTCCAGAGGCTGATGAACCGCGTGCTGAGAGAACATCAAGAATACGCAGTGGCCTACATAGACGACATCGTCATCTTCAGGAAACCTGGGCCCAACACCTCCAGCACGTAACTGCGGTACTAGAAGCGCTACAAGGAGCTGGGCTGACAGCGAATCCCAAGAAATGCCAGTTTGGGAAATCCAAAGTGTACTACCTGGGGTACACCGTAGGGCAAGGGCAACTTAAACCGCTGGTTGACAAGGTACAAGCCGTACGGGACTACCCCACCCCCACAACAAAAAGACAGGTGTGACAGTTCCTAGGGTTGGCAGGGTATTATAGAAGGTTTGTGGCGAACTTCTCATCACTAACCGCCGCCCTCACAGACCTCACACGCAAAGGTCAACCCCAGAGGGTGAAGTGGACGCAGCCCTGTGAGGAAGCCTTTAGGAGGCTCAAACAGAGGCTCATAACCACCCCCATATTGTCCCAGCCCGACTTTAAAAAACCATTTATTTTACAAACAGATGCCTCGGAGACAGGGCTGGGAGCCGTGCTAGCCCAAGAAGAAGGAGGGGAAGAGCACCCCATCTTATACCTGAGCCGAAAGCTCTTCCCCAGAGAGAAAGGGTATGCGACCATTGAAAAAGAGGCCCTAGCACTAAAATGGGCCATTGACACACTACGATATTTCCTCCTCGGTGACAAGTTCACGCTGGTGACGGACCACGCACCGCTACAATGGATCTGTAAAATGAAGGAGACTAATCCAAGGATATTACGTTGGTACCTGAGCCTGCAGCCGTATCAGTTTGAAATAAAGCACCAGCCTGGTACCGCTAACGCTAATGCTGACAGTTTGTCCCAGATACCGGACCGGGAGGGCGAAAGGGCGGCAAGTATAGGGGTGAATCTGAGGGGGGAGGTATGTGACGGGGCAGCACCCAGCGCAGCCACGCCCTGCACTCAGGCCAACCCTGGGGCCCGCCTGAGGAGACCGGATACGGGGCCGGGCCGGGCAGGGCTGCCCCTGGATCGTCTTCCTTCCCTTTTTTGAAGATGGGCACTACATTTGCCTTTTTCCAGTCATCCGGGATTTCTCCCGAGCTTCACGACTTTTCAAAGATAATAGCCAAAGGCTCCACAATGACATTGCCAACTCCCTCTGTACCCTCAGATGCATTAAGTCCGGACCCATGGATTTGTGTACGTTTAGCTTTTCTAAATAGTTCCTAACCTGTTCTTTACACACCACGGGCTGTTCATCTTCATCCCATCTTGCATCACTTAGCGCATGAGTCTGGGAGCCCACCTTGTTCGTGAATACAGAGGCAAAGAAAGCATTGAGTACTTCTGCTTTCCCCACATCGTCTGTCAGTAGGTTACCTCCTTCATCCAGTAGGGGCCGCCCCCCCTCTCTGATCACCTTCTTCTTGTTAACATGCCTGTAGAAACCTTTCTTGTATCCTTCACATCCTTAGCCAATTGCAATTCCATTTGCGCTTTCGCCTTCCTGATAACCCCCCGGCATTCTCAAGCTAGACATTTAAATCCCTCCCTGGTCATTTGTCCAAGTTTCCACTTTTTGTAAGCTTCCTTTTTTTGCTTAAGTTCACCAAGGATTTCCCCTGTAAGCCAGTCCGGTCTCCTACCATGTTTGCCTCTCTTGCTACGCGTCGGGATGGTTTCTTTCTGTGCCTTCAATAAGGTTTCTTTAAAATACTGTCAGCTGTCCTGGACTCCTTTCCCCTTCGTGTTAGCATCCCAGGGGATTCTGCCCATCAGGTCTCTGAGGGGGTCAAAATCTGCTTTTTTGAAGTCCAAGGTGTGTATTTTACTACTCTCTTTTCTTCCTTTGGTCAGGATCCTGAAATCTACCATCTCATGATCACTGTTTCCCAGGTTGTCACCCACCTCTACTTCCTCTATTAGTTCCTCCCTGTTTGTGAGCAGAAGGTCAAGCTGCAGTCAAAATAAAAGGGGATGGGATCCTGTTTGCAAACTGGCAGGTCGCTCTCAGGTGCACTCTTAAAATGCCTGCTTATTTCCAGGCAGGGAACAGCTAGAGCCCTTTTGAGACAGAGGGTTGCATCTGGCCTTAACGGCACTTGTAGCTCTCGCCCCTCCTACAACTAGAGTACGGTTTAACCAGGTTTCAGCTCTAACCTGGGAGTGCAACTGCAGAGATGGGGATGCTGCACAGATCTCAGTGCAGGTCTGCCCCTATCTGGGATGGCCATTAGGGCAGCGTGGGGAGGGGGGAGCGCAGGTGTCCACAGGTGGCTCTGCAAGAAAGTCCTTGACCATTTGAAAGGCTGGAGATGTAGTTGGAAGCATGAGGCGATGGGCACCTCTGCCACTATCTGGGCGGGGTAAAGGGATTAGGAGTTATCCAATGAGGCTGCTGCCTGGCCATGCTCTGGGGAAGACAAGGGGCTTCTCAGAGGTTCTTGTTCACCTAAACATTTCCCCTTGCCCTTGTGAGACACCAGAGAGCAGCCCTTTCTTATGCCTCTTGCTCAGCACCAGGGACAGAGATTGGTGACATGAGAGTGGGGAACCAGAGGGGCTCTTCTCATTAATGCTGAGTCGGAGTGAGCTGGCTCAGAGTCTGGTGTGAGGGCTGACCCCCTGAGAAGCACCCTGAGTTTAATGTCCTGCTCCTTCATACACAATTTAATGCTCTTGCAGATACAGTGCTTCTGCTAAGGAAGCCCCATGTATGCAACATCATTCAGCTTTGACGGGGAACACTAACTGGCATAAGTCCACAAAGCTTGAAGCCCAGGGATTGGGGAATGCCCCATCTCTGGATCAAGTCCCCAGAGGCTGCCTCACTACAATTAAATACTAACTACCCACCCAAACTAGTAGCTGTAATTTGTGAAGAGTCAGAAGAACCGCTGGGGCGACTGCTTGCCAAAGCAAGATGCCGTCCCAGCGCTGTCACTAGCAGTAAGAAGGAACTCAAGGTGGGCTATACATGAAACACTTCAGAGTGTACCATACGGATACCACTGGCTACAAGAAATACTGGCACTTGCATGAAGCAAGCACGCACACCTCACACAGAACTGCAGCCAGGCTCACCCAATTCCACCAGGCGCCAACCCAAGGCCCTAACTGGATGAATGATCCACCACTGAGTGAGCGGGGAATCCCACTGAAATACACTGACATCACACAGGTGGAAATACCACTCTCTCACACTCTACCTGGGCCACTTCCTACTGCACTTCCTTAAGCTTCAGTGTGTGGAGCATCAGGTTCTCTGGGCTTCTCCATGCAGGTAACTCTATAGGTGCTGATAAGCACAGACCTCCTGTCCAAACCTCAAGATCTCTGGCTCCCGCAGGTAAAGACTGTGATAACTCTTCAGCTAGGGCCTCCACCAAAACTCCTTCCTCTCCACTGGCCAGCCCAGACTGAGCCAAGCTGCTCCCTTTTATACTAGTATAGCATTTGAAGCATGCCCAGTATAGTCTGAGGACAAGACTTCTTCCATCTATAATGAGGTTTAACCCCTTTTCACCCAGTATTGTGTATGCGTGCCTTGTCAGAGGCTTCAAGTCAGGACTTGGAGATGTGAAGGAGCCCATTTAGACAGTTTGCCTGGCTTTAACTAGTGCTATTAACAAGGATTTCCCAGAGCAGGGACTTATGCTTCCCAGAGCATTTGTACTTCACTGTACCCCTGTCGATTTTCTTAAGCACATCAGAACTATTTAGCATTTCTGGGCAAGCACAAGACAACAAGACAGACTGTGCAGGCCTACAACAAAACTAGATCCCAGACTGAAAAAGTAAACCTATGTACATATCTCATCACATTGCCAAGTCTTTATCTATCTATCTAGGTAAAGATGTTGCATTTGACACTACAGTACATAGAGATATCTTTACTGGTTGCTTCGGTGTGTCTATTTACCGGCTCTGCAGCCATGGAGACTTGCGGCTCCCATTCAGTCCACTTTGCTGTGTGCAGCCAAGGGGAGCCTCGGTCAGCAGTCAGACTCTTAACAGTTCATTATCAAAGAGCACTAAAATCTCTAACAGATCAAATGATCTTTTTATGTGCACCATACGGGATCTCATAGTTCTAGAGAGATATCAACTGCAAAGATCTCATCATCTGCCAGCTACTTCCTTGTTCACAGTTTCTTGGACCCCCCATCCCAGTGAATGTGAATCTGGTTTTGTGATTT